ATTTAGACCACTAAAAAATATATCACTAATAGCACTAATATATTGGGAATGACAAAAAAAATAATAACTAAAAAATACATCACTAATAGCACTAATATATTGGGAATGAAAAAAAAAATAATAAAAAAAAAAAACAAAACATAGAAAGTGGACGGGGTCCACTGCCACATTATTAGTGCTCTCTCTAGTGATCACTTTTTAGTGCTCTCAAGCATTTTTCGTGCAAAAAAAAGGTCGGCGGCTGGAAACCTTAGGGGATTGCGTGGTCGTGCAGCTACAGTGCTAGGCTAAGAAGAGTTGACCACCATTTCATTCATTATTTGTTGGCATGTGGGTCCGCTTGCTCCTCTCACTGGTCGGAAACCATTTTGAAAAGGAGTCCTGGTACAGGAATCCGGATCCTCGGTCGCCATCCCCTGTAGCCTTCCCCTGTCGCCCCCAAAACGACGTCGTTTTGGGGGCGAATTTTCAAAAAAAAAAACGCAGAGAAGAGGGAGGAAGGAGAGGAAGAGGAAGAGGGAGAGGGAGGAAGGAGAGGGAGAGGGAGGAGGAGGGGGCCTTAAATACAGGGGAGGAGGAGGAGGAGGAGGAGGCGACGGCGGCGCGGTCGCAGGGTCGGAGGCGGAGGCGATGGCGCGGTCGCAGGTGCTGCGACGAGGTGGGACGGCGGCTGCGACGGCTGCGACGGCGGCGAGGGAGGAGGACGGCGAGCTCACAGCCTCCTCCTCCTCCTCCTCCCCTGTATTTAAGGCCCCCTCCCTCTCCCTCTTCCTCTCCTTCCTCTCCTTCCTCCCTCTCCCTCTCCCTCTCCTTCCTCCCTCTCCCTCTTCCTCTTCCTCTCCTTCCTCCCTCTGCTCTGCGTTTTTTTTTTTGAAAATTCGCCCCCAAAATGACGTCGTTTTGGGGGCGACAGGAAAAGGCGAGAGGGTAGGGCGACCGACGAGGCGACAGGGGAAGGCTACAGGGGATGGCGACCGAGGATCCGGATTCCCTGGTATAGACCCTCACTTGGGCGCCCCTACCACCTTCACGTACACCTGGGTCAAAGAAAGGAGAAGAAGGAAAAAATATATATACATATGGGTCCTGTTACGTTTCATAAAAACTGTCATGAAAATCATCTGCACCGTTGAATCATGAGACACATACCTGATCTAACGGTGCAGATGATTTTTATGACAGTTTTCATAAAAATTCTTCGTGACACCTAACATTTCTCATATACATATTGGACGAATCGGCATCCATTGGGGGTGGTGAGGGTGACCTCAAGTGGGGGTCGCACTCATTAACCTTTGAGTAGTCTATGCATTCTGAAAATAATGAAAAATGCTAGATTCAATCAAAAATTATATAGGCGTGGGATCTATTTTCATGTTTATTTGTTTTTAGTAACTTTTTTTAAAAAACATATTTTAGTGAATTTTAGTATTGATTAGTTTAAAAAAAAAATAATAATAAAAATTGAAAAAAAAATCCCAACAAGATGATAAATATATATATGTGGTTTATATAAATAAAAAAATCTCAAATGAATATGAATCAAGCCAATCACAAGCTAAGTTTAACTAGTTTATATTTTGCATAGTATTAAATATATATATATATATATATAAGTAACCAGAAAGAAAGAAAAAATTTATTATTTCGGCATCGTTTGGAAAGTAACCTCTTTAATGATTTTTTGGTCCAAAATATAAGGTTAAAAAATTAATTTCTGTAATTTTTTTTTTAACAAAAACATATGTAGAAAGTAAAATAAATAGGGTAAACTATCAATATGTCATAATAGTCAGATTTAATTCCCATCAAGTCCTATTAAAAATAAGTTTTGATAAAATTATAGCTAAAAATAATTTTTTTGGGATAATTTTTTACATACGTCGTTAAAAATGTCACGACACGCTCCCCGTACCAAAGGGTTAAGTATCGTAATGGCCAGTAACTAAGGTTACTTCCGGCCAATTCTTAAACAAATTAATAAACACAAGCGGAAGAAATATTAAAGTGAGAGTACCAAAATAATCATTTGAGCTTTTATTTTTATTACAAAATATATTGACCAAAAAGGCCGATATTTACATATAAATAATATCATAAAAAATACTGTGTGTGTCTATTCCGCAACCCGACTTTCCAAAAACCTATTTCTGAAGTTCATTGATTCTTGAAAATTGGTAAACAACTATAAGCACATGGCAGAGTGAGAAATATTATACAAAAAGTATAAGGGATATGAAATAACCATAGATAGTTAGTTAGGCCAAAACATTTGAGATAACTTAGTTGGAACAAATAATCATTTAAGTAGCAAAACTGAGATTATGTAAATAAATAACCATAACCACGATAATTTGGTAAATAAATCATTTAAGTAGCAAAAACTGAAATACAGAAATTATGTAAGTAAATGACCATAACCACGGTACTGAACAGAACAGAGCAGAGGTTACAGAACTGACAGTCAGAACAGAGGTACGGATTCAAGAGATAACTCGTACGGATTCTAGAGGTGGCTCCCACAATAGTGTAGCACTTTGCTCCGCACAGAACAGAGGTACGGATTCAAGAGGTGGCTCGTACAGATTCTAGAGGTGGCTTCCACAATAGTGTCGCACTTAGCTCCGTACAACACTTTGTTCCGCACAGAACAGAGATCAATGGATCCATGACAAATAAAAGACCACAAAATGGTCAAACAGAGGCTAATGGTTATTTAGGTCCCCCAAGGCGTAGAACTCCCGTGGTGGTACTTACAAAATATAATTGTATATAAGGTCAAGTCGAATATTCTTAAAATATAAAACAAACATATCCATAAGTTTCCTTTTAAGCAAATAGGGCTCAGAAATAAAACCACGTAACTGAAATGTTTATATAATTTATAATAATTTATAAAATGTAACTTATATAAAATAAATATGATAAGTCAAAACATATATAAAATATATTTTAATAACTACCTTAGTCTTTTTTTTTTCACTATTACAGACGCTTTCAACTTTTACTATTTTTTCCTTCCTTTCTTTTGTCTCTTTTCTTTCTTTCTTTCTTTATTTCTTTCGTTCCTTCTTTCTTTTCCTTTCTTTCTTTTTCCTTCTTTCCACCCAGGTGCAACGCCTCCCTATATATAGGGAGCGACGATCAGTAGTAGGCCAACGCGTGACCAGGAAATCTTTCTCCACATTCAATTCATTAATTATATAAATTCGTCATAATCTTTAATAGATATTTAAGATAATTATCTTTGCTTTTTGACTCAATATTTTAATATAATTATATAAATAATTTAATTCTTAGTTAAATTACACTATATCTTATACTAACAGAAAATAAGTTATTTATTTTAGTACCACACCTATTATTATTATTATTATTATCTATATTATTATTATTTATATTTTGACCCCTAAACTTTTAATAATTATATTATTTTACAAAATTAGACATAATAATATATAATAAATTATATATTTTCTGAACTGAGATTAAATAATATTAGTATAAATTCTACAGAATAATTAAAAATCTGAGTTGTTACAAAAAAATTGACAATTAGTGACTTTTTTTGTCATGATTTTTATAAATTGTCGCTAAAACTTACAATTAGTGACTTTTTTATGACAAATTTTTTTCATAGGACCTATTAGACAATAAGTTCACTTATTAAGATCTATACGTAAGTACTTCATTATTTTTCTTGCTATTGGGTGGAAAATAATGTTATATGTATTAATTGATATATTAATTAATGTATTAATAGATAATGTGATATAATTTTAAAAGTTTTGAATTTTTGTAATTTATATAATGATGGAATTGTAATTTTTAAATAATAATATTATAATTATGTTAATATAAAATGGTTGAGAGTTCTAATAAAATAATTTTAATAAATTTTAATGGGAGGGAATTTTACTGTGGCTTGTTTTGGGAAGTTAGCTTTTAGTCACTTTTTTTGGTTTGTAACAAAAGTCAAAAGTTTACTTTTTTGAATTTTTTTTTTCATTTGAGAAGTTGGTTTTTAGTCATTGGTGAAATTATAATTCTACCCCTCATGGGTCAAAATGTGTTACATGGATGAAGTTGTAAATATTTTAAACTAAATGGGGGTAATTTGGTCATTTTATTATGATTTGATATCATAAACAAATATTAATCAAAAAAGTTAAAAGCCATTGTTTACTAAGTTCCCAAATCATTTGTCTAAAAAAGTCAAAAGTTTAGTTAAAAGTCAAAAAGTCACTTTTTACCATCTTTTCAAAATAAGCCTGTGATGTAATGTTTTGGTTTTAGTTTTATTTTTTTAATTTTTTTTATTCCCTATCACATTATTAGAGCTTAATTAGAACTCTAAAATTAAAAGAGTGTATCATTCCTCAATTAAAAATTGTGGACGATAATTTTGATTAAATAATATTACATATATCAATTAATCTATTAATGAATAATGTGTTATAATTTTTAAAATTTTAAATTTTATAATTTATAAAATAAATAGAGTCAGAATTTAAAAAAATAATATTATAATATATATTAATACACAAGCACTATTTTGAGTGGGAGGTTGGGGATAAGATTTTAATAGTAAGAGCTAGTTTGGCATGTACTAAATAAGTTAAAAAGTCAAAAAGTCACTATCTTGTTTAAGTCACATCATCTTATTTAAATCACATCACCTCTTTAACACATCACATCAAACCCAACCCAAACCCACCAATAAGTCAAAAAGTATATTTTTTTAAGACATTCCAAACCAATTCTAATTATTTGTTAAATTAATAATATTTAAAATCACTAATTAATGTTATCATTAATGATATGATGATGAATTCCACTTACTATCACGGTATGCACCGTGCCTTATTTTTTTATTTTTTTATTTTTTCATTTTCCACCTCACTACAATCATTATTTGTTAGACTACCATGACGCATACGCTTCTGTCATCACCCTCACTTCTTTTTTGCTTCTGTAGCTTGCTTCTGCCTTCTCTCTCTCTCTCTCTCCCCCTCTATATGTATATATACTTGTCTCTCAAACACTAAAGTATCGGTGCAAGAGGAGGGAGAGAGATGGACAACATCAGCCAAGACGTAGAAGACATTGTTATAGTGGGTGCTGGGATATCTGGCCTAACTGCATCTCTAGGTCTTCACAGGTGAGATACAATAAAATAAATCTCCTTTCTCTCTCTCTGTCTCTGATCAATTCTTAGCTCAATTGGTTTTGGATCAATAAGTATTGAAATGCAAAATAATAATGAAGTTGGGTATGCTATATATATATGTTATACTGTGTGCAGGTTGGGATTGAGAAGCGTGGTGTTGGAATCATCAGACAGATTGAGAATAACGGGGTTTGCTCTATCACTATGGACAAACGCTTGGAGGGCTTTGGATGCTGTTGCCATTGCTCACTCCCTTAGGCAACATTATCCTCAGCTTCGCGGGTGATCCCTTTTTTTTTTTTTTTTTTTTTTTTTTGTGGGTAAAGTCACAAGGATGCTGAGTTTGTTTCTTTTAAAACTGATAGATTACTGGGTTTGGCAGTTTTCAGGTGGCTTCTAATGTTACAGGTAATTCTTCAGAGATGACAATCGGCGGCAAAGGAAAAGAGTGAGTGATATTATCATCATGCTGATCGATTACTGCTGGTAGTTTTTTTTTTATTTTTAAATGTAGTTATTAATTTTCAATGTCAAGAGATAACCCTCCCGTGTTTGATTTCTATATAATTTTTTAATTGAATTAAAATGATATAATGCAAATAATTAAGAATACATTTGATATAATTAAAATTGCTTAAATTATATTAGGAAAATGATTTTCCCCCCAATCCCCTGACTGTCCAAAACGACGTTGTTTTGGATAGTTTTTTTTTTTTTTTTTTTTTTTTTTTTTTTTTTAATCTCTGAAACAAACGGAGGGACGAAGAGAGAGAAGAGATAAGAAGAGAAAGAGAGAGAAGAAGAGAGAAGAGAGAGAACACCCATTACCAGCGTCGCCATCACGGGTACCGCCATCCTCTGTGTATATACACAGATCTGTATAGATCTGTGTACCTCTGTGTGTGTGTGTGCGTGTGTGTGTGTGTATCTGTGTGTGTGTATACACAGATCTATACCTCTCTCTATATGTATCTTTCTTTGTGTATCTGTGTGTGTGTATCTCTCAATTTCTTTCTATATCTCTGTTCTGAGTTATAATGTGTGGTGATGATGATGATGATGATATGTTGTTGATAATGATGATGATGCCAGCTAGAAGAAAAAAAAAATGATTTTGATTTCAGTTTGGTGATTACGAACAGAGAGAGAGAAAGAGATGAACAGAGAAAAGAAGAAGAAAAAGAAGAAGAAACATATGAGAAAAGAGAAAGAAAGAAAGAAAGAAAAAATCCAAAATGACGTCGTTTTGGATTCGAGCCATTTCGGGCCAAGTATTATTCGAGCTACGTAGCAGCTTTGTATGTGAAATATAGTTATATTTCATTTACATTTTATCTACTTTTTTTTTTTGTTCTTTTTTTCTTTTTTGAATCGCTACACAAATTTATGAACCAAACACAATGTTAAAGTAAGGTTAGCGGGCTAATAGCAACAAATTGAAAAGAGGATACAATTTTTTTCTTTTTTTTCTTTTTTTTTTGTAAATACTCATGCCATTTTTTTTTCTTTTTTCTTTTCTTTTTTTGTAAATGCTCTTGCCATTTTTTTTCCCAATAACACAATTTAGCTTAATAGTGTCACCTCTAAACTAAATTGTCTAAAAAAAAAAAAAAAGAGGGAAATAACAATTCAATGTAATTTTGAAAAAACAATTTAAATCAGTGACAAAAATTACAAATTTTAATAATTAAAATTATTAAATTTTCATGATTTTCTAATTATTTTGAGAAGGTACCATTTTTTTTGTAATTTCTCAAAAAAAAAAAAACCTCTGTGAACCCAATACAAGTTCACCCAACTCTTCTTCTCGGGGTGTGAGAAAAAGTTGCGTGATGAGCTTATGAACGTTGTCAAATTTAATAAGGGATTCCTTCCTGTTAAATACTTGGGTGTCCCTCTTATTTCAACTAAGCTCAAATCTAAGGATTGTGACCAGCTGGTGGGGAAGATTACTAAGAGAATTAAAAGCTGGACTCATAGATATCTCTCTTATGCTGGTGGAGCTCAATTGATTAAATCGATTCTTTTCTCCACGCAAGTGTATTGGTCTTCTTTGTTTATCTTGCCTAAGAAGGTTATCACTGCTATTGAGAGCCTGCTTAGATCCTTCTTTTGGTCTGGTTGTGACCTTAGGAAACATGGTGCTAAAGTCTCTTGGGAGAAGGTCTGCTCTCCTAAATCTGAGAGAGGGTTGGGGTTTAAGTCTCTTGAAGTTTGGAATAAGGCTGCTATTGCTAAGCATGTCTGGTTCCTCTTCTTGGGTGGCGAGCAGTCAATGTGGTGCCAATGGGTCAAGTCCTATTTATTGAAAGGTAAAAGTTTTTGGAGGATCAAGATGCCTAGTGACCCCTCTTGGGTCTAGAGGAAACTACTATCTCTTAGACCGATTATCTTCCCTTTAATTAAATTCAAAACAGGGAATGGCATGAGTACTTTTCTTTGGTTTGATAATTGGCATCCTCTTGGGTCTTTGTGGGTTAAATTTGGTAATAGAATTGTTTATGACACTGCACTTGGCATGGATGCTAAGGTCAGTAACATTATCCATAACAATTCTTGGAATTGGCCTTGTGTCACATCTTGGGAGGTGAAGGAACTGATTGATCATACTCCATCAAATGTCATCCCTACCTCGGGTAATGACCAAATTATATGGACTCCTTCCCCTAATGGCAAATTCTCTATTAATTCAACTT